ATCTCATTCATTTAACATAAAATTAGTAAATTATTTTCTTAAAAATAATATAAGATTTGCTTGAAATAAAATAACTAAGAAGATTGCATATAACCTCGCAAATTTTGACATAAAATTTAATTAATTTTCATCGAGCTATTATCGTATTATTATTATTTGCTATTGCTTTAGATTAAATATTTTTAGGTATTAGTTTTTATATTTTCAGTTATAATTTTTCAGATTATTTTTATTTTGATTTAGAACATTATAAATTAATTGATTATATATCGATTTCATTTCATTAAAAAATTTATAATTGGAATTAAATTTATTAATTACTATAACAAAATACTTTATTTGTTTTAAATTATGCATAAGAAACTATAGAATATTTAAAAATTAAATTAAAATATATGTATAAATAATTAAAAAATATTTTAGATTTTATTGTTTATATAACTTATTTAGATAATAATTTGGTAAAATTAAATTAAATTAAATTAAATTAAATTAAATTAAATTAAATTAAATTAAATAAATATAAATTAATTATAAAATATAATTTTAATATCAATTATAATATTTAACTATATATTTTTTTAAAGATTAAGTATATAAATTTATTTAAAATATAATTCTAAATTGTATTTTAAATATATAATTAAAAAATATTAATAAAAAATTATTTTTATTTTTTTTTAATATATTTATATAATATATTTTTATTTTATTTAATTAAACTATCTGTTTTTTTTCATATAAATAAATTATTTATTTCTGATTTATAATTATAATTATAATTATTAATATTTATATTTTTTTTTATAAATATTAGATTATAATATTTAAGGATAATTATTTTTATTATTACTGAAATTTATGTTTTAAATTCTATAAAAATTAAGAATTATTAATAATACATATTAAATGAACAATAAATTACATTAATTTATATTTAAAAACTACATAAAATTTAATAATTATTTTAAATATATAAAAATTTTTAAAACTATTTTATAAAATATTTATTATTAAAAATATTATTACTCTAAATAAAGTTAAAATATATCAATTAAATAAAACATAAATATAAAATAAAGCCTTTAATTAATATAAACTAAAAAAATACATTTTTAAAGTCTTCAATTTTAATATTTTTTTTTTATATAAATTCATTAAAATTTTTTTTAAATTAAGTATATTAAATAATCTAATTTTAATACATTAGCATTCTTAATTAATTAAACAAGAAACATATTAAATAAATAGCTTATATTTAATAAATGTAGAAATAATTTAATAAATAAAAATATCAAAAATAATTACTAAAAAATAAAAAGGCAACATATCATTGTATATATAAAAAATTTATTTTAAAGACTAATACAAATAATGTAAAAGCAAATTATAACTATAGAAATAAAAATGAGATAAATTAAATATTTAAATATTCTTTTATTCAATTTATAGATATTTACTATTAAAATGATGACTAAGTTAATACTTAGTAATAATAAAGAATTAGCTAATATTATTAAGATAGTTTGTAAATCATATAATAGAATAGAATTAACAGTAATAAGAATAACATATTTTACATATTATTAAGTTATTCTATAAGGCCTACTTAAGAATTAATTAAAAAGAATCAATATTTAAATTAATTCATGGAAACTTATAACTTGAACGATTTTATTTGATTTTAAAAAGTTTTACAAAACATTATAATTATAAAAGAAATTTTATTATTTATTTGTAATATAGAGCTATTTTTAGTAAATATATTTGATTAAATTTTTTATCGCTATTATTTTTATGATTAACTAATTTTATTTAGGAATTTTTAAACTTAATTGCTAGTATCCTTTGTTTTTTCTTCATATTTATAGCCATTTTACACATTTTTATTTATTTATTTATTATTTTAATTAACTTTACAATCTTTACAATCGAATTAAACTAGCTTAATGTTTTTTCTCTTAAATAAAGTAGATTTAGCCTGATTATTTTCAGGATCTTAAATTTTATCTTAATCTTTTTGAGTCTATTTACCATCTTCTTAGTTATTTTATTATAAACCAACTTTAGCATATATTTAAGAATTTAATTTACTTATTTTACGTGTAATTAATGTTTTTATCTTATCTTCTGTTGCCAAGTAATCATCTTCTTTTTATTAATTTTCATCATTTAGCCTACTTTTATTTATATTGTATTAGATTAAATATTCAATGGCATTATTTTTTATATTTTCCCTTATGATTTTTAAGATTATAGTTATTATGAAATCAAAGAACATAATTAATTGATTGATTATGTGGATCATAGGAATATTAAGGACAATTACATTATTAAGGAACTCTATTCTCAAAGCAAGTGTCACAAGTATTGTCATTAGAACAAGTTACACATTTAGCTTAGCAAGCTGTACATTATCTGGTTGCCGTGTTTCCCCACTTACCTGAAGGACAAATATTTACACATGAATTTCCATCTAAAAAACGCGGCGCTAGACATTCTTAGCAAGTCCTATCATTACAAGTAGAACATCCATCAGATATATTAGAACATGCAAAACAAGCTTATTAATAATTCTAATTATCGTATTGATAAATTGGACAATCACAATTAGGTAATTATCTATTCCAAAAGCAAGTGTCACAACCGTTTGCATTAGAATAAGTTGCATATTTAGCTAAACAATTATGACAAGTTCTAGTTTTAATATTTTTATATTTTTTATTTGGACAGGCTGAAACACATTTAGAATCATTATAAAAATATCCACTATTGCATAAATCACAAGAATCTATTTATTTACATAACTCGCATTTTTCAATACATCTACATGCTTCTAAATACTAGCCTACTGAATTTAAATTACAAGAAGTACTGTTAGTGCATCCAGCACATTTAGGCATACATTCATGTGCATAAACTTCAAATTTCCTTATACCTAAAGATTTATTATCAGGATTTTCTATCAAGTTATTAGTAAATGAAAGTTCAGTATTTTAATTACTAGTTTTATATGTGAATTTGTAACTTTAAATCAATTCTTTTGCTGGTTATCCACAAAAATCATACATTACGAAACCTTTTTTTAGAGTATGTATAATCTATCCATTTATTTTAATAAACAATTAATCATTACTATTCCAGGAATCAATTAGGATAAATAAAAATTATACTATATAACTATATAAAGGTTTAGTTGATTAAATATTATTTATTACAATACAATCTTTGACGCAAATATTATATCCTCCTAAAAGTAATAATGAATCACATTTAGAAAAATAAGTACTACCAATAAATCCAGAGATTTAAAAACCACAATTTTAAATATCCTTTAAAGAAAATCTATCAATTAAACAATTTTTTAACTATACTTATTTTTGAGAATAAACTAATAAAATAAAGTTTAATATTACAAAAATAGTTTTTATGCTTATGCTTAATTAAATATTAATCATTTATATTTTATAAGTTACTATTAAAATTTTATAGATAATTTTTTAATTTATTTTATATTAACATATACATTTTATTAAAAAATAAATAATTATTTTATTGTAAATATTTATTTATTAAATAATTTTAAATTATTAAAATATTTTAAATGAAAAAAAATATATAGTTTAATAATATATAAAAAAATAAAATATTTATATAATTTATTATTTTAATTTTTATATATTAATATATTAAATAAAAATTTTTATTAATTAATTAATCGTTATATTAATTTGAATATTTTTTTAATTGAATTAATAAAAAATAATAAAACACAATTATTTACTTAGAAATTAAATCAAATATAAATATGATTTTTCTATAAATTTTATATAATAAAAATATATTTTTATAAAATAATTAATTAATAATAATATTAAAAAAAATATAAATATAAATATTATTCAATAATAAATATATTTTTTTAATTTAGAAAAGTTATAAATATTATGAATTATCACTTCTTCTATAATTTATAATTATTTCAATCGTTTTATATTTAATTTTTAGACTATTATATTTTAAATTATTTTTAATATAACTTTATTAGAAATTTAATAATATACTAATTTTTTATTGATTTTTATATTTTTTTAAAAAAAATTTAGTAATTTATATTTTAATTATATACATAACTTATATTATATATAAGATTTAATGAATATATTATTAATTTTAAAACATATTAAATAATTTTTAGATTTAGATTATATAAAAAGGTTTTAAATAATAAAAAAATAATATTGAAATAAAAAATACTATAAATAAATAAATGAATTTATTTAAGATTATAAATAATGAATCAAAAATATTTATACAATACAGTTTAGATAAAATACATAAAAAAAATTAATTTCAAAAAGTTTATTATTGGAAATCAGTAGTTTTTTTTAGATATTAAAAATAAAAAAATAAGAATTTATATTAATTGAATTTAAAGCAATACTTAGTTTGAACTATTAAATAAATTATATTTTTAAAAGGTAATAATTTACTTTACTTTTTTTTATGAAAATATAACATAAGAAGAACTCATATTCAAAAATATAATTATTATTATAAAATTAAAAGCAATATATAAAAAATAAATTAAATAGAGAAAATTATTTATAACAATTAAATAATTATAATTTTTTTTAAAAAGGGTTTTTTGTTTTATAAAACTTTAGGAAAGAATATTTATGTATATAAATTTTAGTTTAAAATGAAATATATATAAACAATTAAATGTCTTTTGATCTTGGTAATTAATCTAAATATCACAAAAAATAAAGACAATCTTTAATAAGTATATTTTCTTAATATATATTTTTTTTTTGCTTTTTAACCTTTTAAAGGTTTATAAAATGTTGTCTTAATCAAATAACCAAATATCTTTAAATTTTTAAATAATTGTAATTTTTATATTTTAAATAAAATTCAGGTTTACAAGGTATCCAAAATTTTAAATATTAAAATTTAAATTTATAACAAATATATTATTTAGTAATAAAAAATATTAAAGAGATATAAATTTAAAAATAAGAATAAATATAAAAAATTTAAATATACATATTAATAATTAATAATCATAATTATTTTATTATATAAAATAAAATATAAAATATTAAAATATAGAGAATATTTTTTTAGTTTATTAATTGTTTACTTATATATTCTATTTTATTTTTTTAATTTTTTTTATAAAATTTAATTTTTTTAATTCTTAATTTTTTATAAAAAATCAAATACGTAATTTTTTAGAAATTAATTAATAATAAAATACAATATAATAATATGTTTTTAATTTTTCTTTTTACTCATAATCAATATTATATAAAATTTTTATTCAGAATATATAGATGAATGCCATTTTAATTTCTATCCTATATAAAAGTGATGTTTTGATAAATAAATATATTTATATTGATAAAATTTTAAAAATATAATAAACATATATATAAAAAATAAAATTAAAATAAAATAATTATAATTTAATTTATTTTAATTAGATAAAAATAAAAAAAAAAAAATTTAATAATTAATAATATTAAAAAAAAATAAGAAACATATATAAATTACATAAAAATTTTATAAATAAATGAAATATAATTTTAAATAATATTTATTGTAATTTCATTATGGATTTAATAATTATTTAAATTATTATAAAAATTTATGTATGTTAAATAATAACATTTATAATTAATAATAAATTATTTTAATATAAAAATAAAAAAAAAAAAAAATTAATTGTAGATAAAAAATACAAAATTAATAAAAATAATATTTAAATATAAATAAAAAAATTTCAAAATTTTCAAAAATTATTTTTTCTTAAATTATTTTATAAAAGCTGTTGATTGCGTATAAAATTAAATAAGAAAAAAATACTATTATATTAATAAAAAAAAATATTACATATTTAAAAATAAAAATAAATAAATTATAAATATATATATATATATAAATATAAATATTAATATATATAATTATAAATAATTTTCATTTATAATTATTTTTAAATTATATATTTATTACGCATTTTAATTTAATGTAAATAATAATATATAATAAAAAAATTTTATATAATTTTAATACTTATTAGTTTTTATATATTTTTTATATATATAAAATCAATCTTATTTAATTTTTATTATGAATATAAATATAATATAATTTAAGAAACATTTATATATAATATATTTTTTTTTAAAAAAAAAAATTATATAAATATATATTTTTATTTTATTAAAATATAATTATTATTTTTAATTATTTATTTTAAAATATTTTTACTAACTAATTTTTAAATTAAATATGTATATACATATATATTTATATATTTTTATTTTAATTTTATTAATTTATATATATTTTTATAAAATAAATATTTATTAAAATAAAGAAACATTTATTTATTTAAAATAATATATTTTTTTAAAATTTCATTTATCAATTATATATAAAGCATATGAAAAAAAATATTTGTATAATATTAAACTTATTTTTAATTGTATATTCTCAACGTTAAACAATATTAAAAATGTGCTTATATGGTTCTTTTAACAAAGATGATGTTAAAAATTGTGGATTTTTAATTATTGGATTTAATGGAAGTAATCCTGTTTCATCTTGTTCAACTCATGTTTTATTAGGAGGTTATGATGTATGTGGATAAAATTGTATTATGAAGAATTATTTTAAATCAACTTAACCTGTGTTTAGTTATATAATATAATTTTCATATGTACTTATTGATTCATGGGATGACGAGGTATTAAATATTTTTATAAATGGAAGATTAATAAAGAGTCTTAGAAAAACTGATAATAAAACTAATTTATGTGGATTACCAAAGGGTGACTTTTTTTCAAATGTCATAATAACTTATTAAACTAATGAAACAGATATTGAAATTGAAATTAGTAGTAACTTAGATGAAGATGCTTTTAATGAATCTTTTGGTATAAATGAATTTAAAATTATAGCTGATGAATGTATGCATTAATGTGCTTAATGTAAGGACTCTGTATCTTGTAGTTCTTGTTTTAAAGGCCAGTATTTAGATTTAGGAGTTTGTTCTAACTGTATTTCACAATGCGAATAATGTAGTAATGGGACTTCTTGTGATTTATGCAAAAATGGATTTTTTTATAATGATTTTTAATGTGTTTCGGCCTGTCCAAATAATAAATATGTAGATAATATAAAAAGAACTTGCAATGATTGTAATATTAAATGTAAAACTTGTTCTAATGCAACCGATTGTGAAACTTGTTTTTTGAATAGAGAATTACCTGGTTGTGGATGTCCTGCTCATAATTATGATAATTTGAATTACTAATAAGCTTGTTTTGCATGTTCTAATATATCTGATGGATGTTCTACTTGTAATGATAGGACTTGCTAAGAATGTCTAGCGCCGCGTTTTTTAGATGGAAATTCATGTGTAAATATTTGTCCTTCAGGTAAGTGGGGAAACACGGCAACCAGATAATGTACAGCTTGCTAAGCTAAATGTGTAACTTGTTCTAATGACAATACTTGTGACACTTGCTTTGAGAATAGAGTTCCTTAATAATGTAATTGTCCTTAATATTCCTATGATCCTAGTGCTTTCAATTAAGCTTGTACTATGTGTTCTACTTTTTCAACTGGATGTGCTACATGCAATGCAACTGAATGTCTTACATGTATAACTCCTTATTATTTTTAATTAAACTCAAATAGATAATGTGATTCATGCTTAAGTATAATGACTAAAATGCATTTTAGTGATGATTTATTGCAGTTAATTATAGATTTTGATAATTATTTTTCTAATTTATAAATTAATCTTATTCTAACAAATTTGGATTTATAAAACTATTCTTCTTAATTATAATTTACTAATTTACTTTGTATAAAAACATTAGATAAAACTTTTATTAGTACCAAATTATAAGGAAATATTTTGTGTTCTTTTGATAAATATTAAAAAACACTTACAATTAAACTTGATTCTGTAAGTACTGTTAATAAGGATGATACGATAAAAATAAAACCTGGTGTATTCAAACTAACAAATAATGGCTTTGATTGCCCTGATTTTCTTTAATAAATAACTGGAAAAGTGATTTTAGACACTAATCCAGTTATTATGTTAACATAAACAAGTCCTATTTCGATATGTTAATAAGCATAAATAAGAATATCTGGTATTTCTAATTCTGGAAATAGAAAGTTGAAATAAATTACTTGGACACTCGTTTCTTCTAATGTAAATACGGCAAATGAAATAACTTAAATAAATACATTTATCTAATAATAAAATAACTAATTATTGTTAGAAATACCACCATTATAACTTAAAAAATAAGGATAATACTAATTTTAAGTATATGTAGCTACCGAGTTTAGTCAAGCAGCAACTGCAAACGCAATAATAGAAACTTTAGCAGACACTTTGATAGACATAAATGTAAAATCAAATCCGAATTTAATTTATAGAAGTAGTTTAGTGAATGTAAGTTTGAATTTTAATCTTTTGTAATGTGAAGATGATGGAAAAATATCTTATCATTAAGAAAATGTTTATAATGTATTAATAAAATAAAATGACAATTTAACAGAATAATTAAATATTGATTCCATATAATAAATTTAAGGAACTTCATTTTAATTTTAAATTTAGCCTTTTATCATGTAAATGAGTAAAACGTATAATATATAAATAATTATTTCTTTATAATCTAATCCTAAAATTACTCAATAAATATTATTCTCAGTCTATGTTCTTTCTTATCCTCCTTTAGTTTAAATTTTAGGAGGAAATAGATAATAATTATTTTCTTAAAGTTTTGATATATAAGCGAAAGTAGATGATCCTAATTTATCCCCAAGTGAAAAAGATTTATTAAAATCAACTAATTATGGAATAACTATAAACTGGTAATGTATAAACCTCAGTACTGGAAATGATTGTAAAGATTCTTCAAATAATTTAATTGTTTCTCCAATTAAATAGAACTTATAAATTAGTATATAAAAGAATGTCTTATAGCCTTATTAATAATACTAATTTAAAATATCAGGAACAAAAAATGGAGTAACTGCGTTTGATTAGATAACTATATTAATGGTTGATTATAATATACTTCCTGTTAATCCTAGTATTTCTATTAATAATTCTTAAAATACAATAAATTTAAATTAAGAAATATTTATTTAATTTGATTACTAAGAAGATACAAATGTTGATGACTTAATAATTACAGGAGCTATTTTATATTATAATTAATAAATGAAATTGATATATATTTAAATATAATTAATTTAGATTTTAAATTTGGGAATTGTTCTTTGACTTTTAAAATTAAAATTAAAATTAATTTGAACTAAAATTTTCAGTAAGAAATCCAAATTTTATAATACCGACATTATTTTCTTATATTTTTAATGTTAATATACCTCCAAAGCATTGTACTTTTGATTAATCTACAGGCTTTGAAGTTAGAAATATGTAAGATAAATAAATTTTTAAAATAAATGAATGTATTGATACTGATTAACCTTTAACTTATTCCTTCTATTTTTATAAAAACTAAGATGATTATAATAATGAATTGTTAAATGCATAATATGTTAATAGGTAATTGTTATCTGATTTCTCACCAAATAATAAGATTGAAACTGTTTTACCTTTTGGTGTGTCCTTAATTATGGCAGTAATATAAGATTCAAAAGGAGGAATAAGAAACATAACTTAATAAATTACAGTAAGCCAATATACTTAAGATAGTTCTTCATATTACATATTTATAAATGATTGGTTTACTTTGGCATAATAAGATTATTTAAATTAAAATAAAATTATTTATTATAATATGATTATTTATGATATTATCAATCATATGAGTGTTCTATCATTGCAAACTGATTCTTAGTTTATATAATTATATATTGAAATTTTAGATGAAATTCATAATTTGTAAAATTATTTTTAATAATAAACTGACTTTTTGGACTATTTTCTATAAACATAAATAACATTAAATTTAATATTTAGTAACATTCTCAATTAAATATTATCATAATTAGGATTTGATAAAATACAACAATTTATTAATAATGTTTAATAAATAATAACTAATTAATAAACACTTATTAAAAAAATAGTAATTTCTGACACAACATAATATGAAAAATCTTTTTAATCAGTATAAATTCTTATATTATAAGCATAAATAATTTAAAATATTTTTTAAGGCGATAGAGGATCATTTAATCATTAATAAAATTCATTATTAGATAAATAATACATGTAAATAATGAAAATAATATCGTAAACTTTGAATATGTGTATGATTACAAACGAAAATCCTATACAAGTTCTAAATATAATTAAAACTCAAGCAACAACACATAGAGTTTTAAAAAAAAATTATTTGATAAAAATATTAGATAAATAAAATGAGAGTATAGATATAGATAAAGAACAAAACTAAGAAATTCTATAATACTATGTAAATTATTTAGAATATCCTTCTTCTGTAATAAATTATGATTAAAGATTCCCTTACCCACAAAATCATCCTTTTACCATAAATGAAAAATAATAACTTTTGAATCTAATTAATAATAAATACAACTTGATATTCCTTTATTCAACATTTACAATTTATCTGAAGCTGTAGATAATGCTGGTAATTATATTTGCTTATAAAATATTTAAGGCAAATGGATTTCTAAAGATTGCATACTTTTATATTAAACTAATGACTAAAATCAAATTTATTAATTTGTATGTTAATGTAAAACATAAGGAAAATAAACTCTTGTTAATGACATATAGTAGATATTTAAAGCGAATCGGATGAATTATTGGTATTTGTATGCTTCTGTGTGGACTTTAGTTGCTACTACTATAATTTATATAATGTCATTTATATATTTATAATAAATCGATAATATTCAAAACTAATAAATGGAATAAAGCATAATAGAAAAAAATTAAATCAAAGAAATTATTTTTAATAAGTATATTAATGATGAAGAAAGAAATAAATAATTTGATAATATTTTTAAAAACGGAGAATAAACTATTAAAATACAAACTTAAAATCATATGAAAGCTTCCAATTAAAAATAAAGTATTTTTTAAAACAAATATTATTTATAATTACAAAATATTTTTTTTTTTATTACTAATATACTTTTTTAATTTAATTTTTTAAATATAATTTAGCTACTTTTGCTGAATTAAAAACAAACAAAGAATTTAGTTAGAGTAATTAGTAATTTGAATCCCAAGCCATAATTTAATCATAATATTAAAACATTTTAATAAAAAATTAAAGCAACGATATATAATCAATTAAAGGTTCTTTGATTTAAAAATAGTAATAATCTTAAAAATTACAAGAGAAAATATAAAAAATAATACCAATACATCTTTAATCTAATCCGATATATAGTAATAGGCCAATATTTGAAAATTAATAAAAAGGAGACGATCTATCGATAACAGAAGATAAGATAGATAAATTTGTTAAACGCAAGATTATTAAATTATCTTCTTAAAAATAATCTAAAGTTGATTTATAATAAAATATCTAAGAAGATGTTATATAACCTTAAAATGATTAGGATGAAATTTAAAATCCGGAAAATACTCAGGCTGATCCTTAAAAAAATACCTTAGTTAAAAGAAAAATATTATTAACTTAAGTAAGCTAATAAAGAAATAAATAATAAACAAATTAAAAAAACTATGAAGAAAAATCAAATTTTAGCAGCAAATTAGATTATAAAAGAAATGTAAAACTTAGTACATTAGAATAACATTAGAAATAAAAAGTTGAATCAATTCTATTTACTAAAAATAATTTTTCACTTCAAACA